TAATGTGAGCTTCAATATTGAAACTATGCTTCGCCGTTTGATAGGTATGTTGGCATCATTTTTAATTATGGATGACAGATATTGGGATCATCAAGGGCAAATGATACTGAAAAGGTTCGTGCACATTTTGAAAAATTACAAACATTTTTTTTATCTACCTCAAATTCTATGGTATTTTGTGAACTGGATCATTTTCCACTTGAATATTACCGGAAATTTAGAATAATTAGATACTGGTTTAAATTATTTATGTCAGGAAATTGTATTTTGAATCATGCATATGATTTTTTAGGTATGGAAATACAAGAGCTGTTTAAAATGTGTTATTTTTGTAAAACAAAAAAAATATTTGTTTTTAATTTGGTTTCGGATATGTATGGAAAAGAGAACTAATGTTTGACATTAATATTACCAATATATTACTATTTATCAGACAGCAAATCTTTGACCAAGGCTGACAACATATCTTCAACATTTATAAACACCTTACTGACGTGATTACTTTACCATTTTCAGTATCTATGTATATTAGTCCTTTAAAGGTAGAATTCTTATAACTAAAATACGTGAATCTGCACCGAGATTTGTTTGAAGTTGGTCGATATGCTAGTACTCCAAGGTCTAGACGATTCTGTAATATATGCATTACTATTTCTTTCTTTTAAATTCTTGAATACATATAAAGTTAAGGAAAAATAGTACATGAAAAATACTATTGGAAAAATTTATTGTGAAGACCGTGTTAGACTCTGGGGAAATATATGCCTGAAGGTATTAAATAATTTACCAATGATATAATATAATCTGCATCTCATTCTCTATGTGTCTTGTATACGCCGTGCTGTAAATTCATATTATACCATACTACCTACATGATCTCCTCATACAGCCCTAACTGATAATTGATCAGTCAGCAGACGGCCGTGCGAGTCCTGATTCCACAATCGAACTGAATTTTTATTTGTTATTTGACATTTTCTTCAAATCTACACTGAGTTGTATTCATTTCTGTACATCTTCTACGCGATAGACAAGAAAGCATCCTTACATATTCAGAGGAAATTTGATATAAAACGAGAAACAGGTTAAAGTAGTCGATAAATATTGGATTTGAGTGGGTAATATCCCAATCCATTAGACATATGAGATATTCGGTCATCTCCCTCATGTAGTCCGCCATCTTGGTTGTTTGACTTTGGTACTCTCGGAACATAGAAGCTTTGGAACTCGGACTATTTCTTATGTTTTCATTTAGTCAGTGTTTAATATTTCGAGGGAAATCAGCACGTGCGATTTGCCGTTTCTGTCTATGAAAAACCGGTGTATTTCTATAGCTCGTCCGTCGGTTGTAAAGTCCTCGTGAATTTGTCTGCTCTCTCTCTCTCTCTCTCCCTCATTCCAGTAGCGTTAGGTACAGTGTGTAGGGGCTGCAGTCTATTTTAGTTAGAAGTTAGAGCTAAGAACATATAGGATTCTTCTTAACTCAAGTCCAAAGCGTGATGTAGCCGCTGTCTCTACTAACATTCTTAGAAGGAGTGAGCCTTGTAGTCGCTAGAATAGCTATATGTTATCAAGTGGGAGTTATGTGTTGGGTGTAAATGATAGAGTGTAATGTGAGGAAGTTGTCCTTTTATTCTCTATTGTTGAAATCTTTCCTTTAAACTTGTTGATGTTAATAAAATATATTGAACTTTATTTCAGTCTTCATGCTCTTTAGCCAGATACCTCACGTTTCCAATTTGTAAGACCCTTATGGGCATAAGATCACCGAACCTGGGTTGAAGGGTTCGTATAGGGAACCATGAAGTGTTACATACGAGTGTATCTGTACATGATAGAAATAGATGTGTCAAATGCGGTTTAATTAGAAAATAGATACTTTTTTCATATCATAGATAAATAAACCATATACCACACTTTCAATAATCGTGAAACAGATGTGCAATAACATATTTGGTCCAGTTTTCCTATCGCAGGTACATCAGTGGACATATCTATTATTTGGTCCTATGTGTCCCTGTGTCAAATATTGTTGGATTGACTTTCGAGAGATTTAGCGGATTTTAGTCATTTTCGGAGGCATGTGAGTTGTGAGTGCTGTCTTGAATCTTGTAAATAGACGTTTGTGCCATTCTTTATATCAGTTTTGCTAGTCGTAACCGGCCAGTCTACAATAATTATGGATACATGATTTGAAACTGGATTTAGTTAATCAAGTATGAACTATATTATTATATAAATTATCACATACATATCACATGTAGACATACGAGCCGATATTTGTACCGTCATATGGACAGCAGGGGCCTTTAACAAGCTACCGAATTTTCGGTGACTGGTTTGACACGTTTTGAATGAGAGGTCCAGGCGAAACTAAGATAGCGGCTCGGGTTAAATGTAAACAAATGCAGTTTTAACTTTGTAGAATTTGGCAAAAATCCTGTGTTTATAGTATATCTCTTCTGATACTTGATTATACAAATTATGAGGAAAATAAACAAAGAACAGAACTATTCAATAACTAGGTCAATCTTCCATTAATGACTCTAATGTCACATTACCCGATGATACCATACCAATTCAAATAAACTTTAAAATATTGTTATTTCTGAGCAGGATGTTAAAGACGTTAAATCATGTTAGATATTTCAAAGCCTTCAGGTCCAGATAATATGAGTCCTAGAATTACTAAGGAAGCAAAAACGGGGTCTGTGGTTTAAGTTCTTACATATGTCTTAATAAGTTAATCTACTGTGTTGTATAGCAGCAAATGTCACAACAGTCTTTAAAAAAAATAATAAATCAATTGTTTTAAATCATAAACCTATACCTTTGATAAGATTTCTTGGCAAGTTAATGGAAAGATGTATTTTAAACATAGGTACACGTGTTTTTTTGTTTTTTTGTTTTTTTTTAAATAAATGTCAAACAAAAGTCAATTGACCAACTTTTTACGAACGATATTGGGAGGGCTTCAGATGCGGGTAAGGAAATCAAAGCTGTATTTTGTGTCAGAAGTAAAGCGCCTGATCGGGTTAGCCACAGGGGTCATATACATAAATTAAAAGTAGCCAGTATTTCTGGAAAACCATTATCTTCATTAAAAATCATTCGTCTGATAGAAATTTAAAAAGTCGTTGTAAATAGCTATTCTTCAGATTGAAAAAAAGATCACAGCAGGGGTACCTCAAGGTTTAATTTCAGGCTCTCTTTTTTCTAACTAAACATTAATGATATAGTGAAGGATATCGATTGTAAAATAAAACTCTTCGCTGATGACACCGCCTTGTATATAGTAGACGTAAACCCAACTGTCGATGTAAATACTATTATTATTGATAGAAAAGAAATCAACACAGAAAATACAATCCGATGGCAATTAAAAATATCACTTTATCTGATATTAGTTCATATAAACATGGCACATGAATATCCATGTTGATCATATATTGAAAAGTATCACAAAGATTAGTTGTATTAAGAAGTTTTATTTGTAAAACTCAGTAATGTAAAGATTCTTTTTTAAATTCCTCAGTACAGTTACCTTTAAACTTTTCAAAATATATCAAATTTAGTAATACTTATTGTAGTATTTACTTTCGTGGAATCTACTGTAACAAGAGTCAAATTTGGATAAACGTTACTCGACATCATTGCATACTGTAATTTGTACATGATCACAAGTATCAACTAAGCCGTCATATACTTTGTATATATAATGTACTATACAGACAATCGTATTCAACACACACACACACACACACACACACACACACACACACACACACACACACACACACACACACACACACACACACACACACACACACACACACACTATTCTATTGTTGATATCGTGACATAATAATATTACAATCTTATCAATATTTTAATATTAATAACCTATAGTAAATTAACCACATTTTGAAACTTTCCCACCGATATCCTTCTCTTAGTAATAATATGATTTAGTAAAATCAGATACTTTGCTTAATCAGCTCTCTCACACCAATATTTTAGCTGAATAAAGATGAACATAGATTTGTTTTATATGTCAATGGCTGAATAAAACTTCAGTGGATCATTAAATAACAAAATATAAAACCAACAATTTAATACATCATTCAAAATTATAGGACGAGAAATTATTTTACATCTTCTGTATGATACCAGCAAAGTCTCCCATATGACTATATATATATATATAAAGACATTGAAATATGTCACTTTAACAACAATAGTAATTAATTTGATCATGAATTTGGAAATGGTTGCAGAATATAGCAATAGCGTAAGGAAAGAAAACCAATACGATTGAAACATTGTAGTAATAATATACATTTAATATATTGTTACAATTTATTATTCGTGTTGTATCTATTAAAAATGTTATACTAGTTCTTGGAAATTGATTGCAGTCTATACATGAAATGTTAAACAAAACTAGCTTTTTTTAGTTTCAAGAAATTGTTTGTTCTACAGTGGTTATACATCTAGTCAGCTTACAATATTTGATTCCATGCTGCTAATCGAAACAATAGACGCTCTATAACTTTTTTAGAGTAAAGTGATGGAAATGAAAACTTGTATTTGCGAGTGAAGCCATATTCCCTGTACAATATGCTTTTAAGAACTTATTTCATACATGGATAACATTTGTTCATTGAAAATGCATGGATATAAATTTATATGATTTTATTCTTAAATATCGAATCAAATGCGATATGTTAAATCATAGGGTAAGGATGCTGGAATGTGGCTGTCCGGAAATGGAAAATTGACATTAGAGAAATTCAAATCCTCACGCTTATCGTACAGCTTGGTGGAAAGCTGTTACTGTAGGTTTCGTTCAAGGAAAAGATCGAGATAAGCTGCCGATGTTGAGGAGTCTGTCGTGTCCTTGATTTCTAATTCTGGTAGGTATATACGATGTACGTGGTCAATAAATTTCACATTGCTTATTTTTAGTGAAGGTAGCTGATTATAAAAACATGTTCTGTTTAAGATTCGTTTTCTGAATTATTGTTGTTCGATATTTTTCGTTTTAGTGCAGCAGCAAACACCAACATACAGGTCGCGAATCCGAGAGATGCCGACATTCCGTAAAGTGGTTTGGTGTAGGACCCTGTCAGATCAATAAACAATCCTGTAATATAGACAAGACACTTGTACAGTTAATGTTTGTACAGCAACGTATGCAATAATTCTTCAATATAAAAGAGTGCAAACACGTAGAGAATAACTTGATTTTAACATGAATGGACGAGAGTCTTTCCATAAAGTCTCCGTCATGCCATTGATGCTTTTTAGTGGGATGGAAAATGCTATGCAAATGAAATACTACAGTTATATCGAATTAGTTACTTCGTAGACAAACATTACCTGCAATAGGCGCCGATATCGTATTAGATATCCCCATTGCTGTCATTAATACTCCCATTGCTGCGGAGTAGTCCAGTATTCCTACAAGCTTCAAAGTTGTCATGGAGATGGTGGTCACGCTAACGCCCACCGTCATTCCCAAAATTATAACCAGGACAAGGTAATGTGCATAAGTTTCTCCATTAGGAAGTAAAGCAAAAGCAATCGATCCGATCATCGTGAAAAAAGCAGATAGAAGAAGGTCACTGCAGTGGTAGATATACTTTTCACACAAACCAGGAAGGATTCCAGAAATCGTCATCCCTAATTGTGAATAAAGATACAGTAGCACTGCTGTTTCAGAGTCTAATCCTTTTATTTCAAGAAAATCAATAAAGAATGTCAAAAAAGAATTTATAACTGGAAGTGTACAACACAAAGCCACCACATGTGTTAAATAAACTTTGTTTGATATCAACGACCTCAACGATTTTATATAACTTTCCTGTTTCGAATTCGTCTCCGTGTTACGTTCGTTTGGTTCATGTGTTGTTGATGGCGGACCAATTTTCACTGGTTTGCATATAGCAAAGCCACATATCGCATTTGCCATTAACCCGCCAAGTATAAGTAAACTCCCCCGCCATCCGAACTCTTCGATAAGTCTGTGAAAGAGGAAAGGAATTACCATACAGCCACATCCGGATCCAAATGTGAGGAATGACAAAGCAAGTTTGGAGTCCTCTTCGAAGTATTCTCCAATACTTGTTACTGCGGAAATGTAGACTGCAGAGGAACCAAAACCTATTGAAAGTAAAGTTGCAGTTGTACCTTTATCGATTGTCCAGTTGTCATCATTCAGTAATAAAAGTAATCTTCTGACAGGCAAAGTTAAAACCGAAAAGTTCAAGTTTTATTTATCTTTAACGGGTTAGTGTCCATAAGAGGGGTTAAAGATGGAAACATGGGTAGATAAATCTATTTGAGAGTAACATTGGGTGGCAAAATAGGCGCCATCAAGATCTCACAAGGAAGTATGTTGAATCTTATACCAAATGTTTGATGATTTCATTTTCATTATCTCTGTCTTAATTTTCATCACAGTCTCCAGTAAATCTAGATGTTACATCGCAACATAACAGCTTTCAAACTTCCGGACATTTTGTGAGTTATCCACTTCAGATTTTAGTATTGCCCATCGGAAGTACTTTGTCAGTGACTGTTATTCAATGTCTGAAAGTGAAAATCAGCCACAGCGTGTAGGTTTTACATATTATTACATTTCTAGCAGTGAAATATAGGGATATCTCAAACTGATGAAAGTTATATTTTTCACTGTGAAAAATATCACTTTGAGGATTGACCAATCAGAGAGCCCGATACAAATCTACTCCAATTCTGTCAGGAGTTTGTTCACTGGGAACACAACCTTCAACTCCAACGTAAATTTCCATTTTCATGGCAGTCAGCAGACGATGCAAGTTAGTAACTCTAACTGTGTTATCAGTGGTCAAACCCATCCCCGTTCTAAGAGTCTTGAGTGTGGACCAAGGCATTTAAAAAGAATCCGTGTCATTGATAGTGACAGCGACTAGGATGGCGCCATACTTTTTCATGCGCGGAAGAATTTATCAAACATTGTTTTTTTCAGTTAAACGTTTAAACCATTTCATTGTGTATAAGTGACATCAATAAATAACAAAATTCATGTCCAAACACAAATAAACATTCATTAGGATTTGTTTATGAGTCTGTATATTTTAACTGATTTTTCATAATATGGACTATTTTTTTGCCGCGCACAACATCGTTGTATAATGAGTGAGTAGTGTCTGGAATAAGCATGGTCAACTTACCCATTTTATAGTTATCGTAAGTTTGCCATTGTTTTGGTTTATTTTTGCGATGAAAATGTAATAAACAATATTAATTTCCGAGGATGATTTATTTTCGTGAATTTAGTGGATACTCTTAATCCATTTATTCATATGTCTACGAATTGTTCAAATTAGCACAATTAGATTTATTTAGCTTATCCACGAAATCAAAGGTTCCCGAAATAGGATTTTAAACACGGAAATTTATACTGTAGAACATGTGGGTGGCCGTAAGATGAGACACGGGATAAAGGTTTGGAATAATGTTGTGAGAAAAGAGTTTGTAACGGACCCTGCAGCTAATATGTGTGAATGTGATTTACATGTTACATGGGTTGTTATTGAAGACTTAGATCTGCGTGCTGCAGACAAAACATTTTACCAACAAAATTTAAGAAATAAAATTCCTACCTGAAACTACACCAATCGTGGCAATGAGATGAGGTATATTATTTGCGAAGAAGGATAAAATCAGTCCTAGGCTGACCAATATGCTTCCTATTATGCCAGTTGATCTCACTCCGTATCTGAACAGACATTTTCCACTTACAGCTCCTGAATATGAAAAAAAATACATCAAACATTTAAAACACTTATTTTCGAAACTTCATTATGGAGTGAAGAACTCCATTTAACATAGGTTCATTCAGATTTGATATTCGGTCAAGCATACCATGAAATGATATTTTTTCAGTGGTAATATAAAGAGAATTTATTTTCCATCAATATCGCATCTGTGAGTGTAAATGTTGCTTGACGTGTTACTTCGATACCATGCAAAAGTTTTTTATTGTGGATTAATGTCATATTTGTCCAATATCCTGCCATAGTTAACTCTATATTGCATTCCACATGGTATAAAATGCTGTTCAATAACATGAACTTTGTAGTTCAATGACATGAACTTCGTAGAACTAAGAGTACACGTATAACGTGAACTTTGTAAAACTGCGAGTACTTCAATATCACGAACTTTGAGAGTACATTGCTGTCGTGTTTTCTCTCGCTATTATTTTGGCTTTACCTGATTATGTATTAAAAACAGTCTGTCTTTGTTCATATTTCTTCCTCGTTGAATCAATTATGCAAATTTTTTTTTGTTTACAGGTAGTATTCTAAAAATATTCAATATACTCATAATCCAAACGCAAATTTATCAGCCAGGGCAACATATGAATAAACGATACCCCTTAAAACACAAGGAAAATAAGACTAGGTGTTCCGGAAGAGTAAGAGTGTCTTCTGCTTCATCAATGAAAAATGTAAACCTTGGTCATTTCGAGTGTTCCAAATGAGAACAATGTATGCAACAACGGTACCAATAACCAACTAACGAGCATCAAACACGTTCATCTTCATATAGCACAAAGAAATATATTTTCTCTTAATCACATATGAACTTTAAATATTTTGTAATATTAATAACGACAGCTATTATATTGATACATAAAGCCAGCTTACCTGCCGTATACAGTATCCCGATTGTAATGGATTGTACTAAAGCTGTTTCCGACTTTTGTTTTCCAAATGTACGCATAAGCTCAGAAATGAGGATAGACATATTAAATACAAATCCAACAAGGATCGCCATAATGATAAATCCTGACAGTAACACCAGCCACTTTCTTCTTGATGTCTTTTGTTTAGGGGTCTGTTCTTCTGTAGCAGATCTGGGATAGTAGAATGAATAATATGAATGAAGCCATCCAATTAAAAGTAGTTTTTATGGGAGGTTTGCTTTTGTTCCATGAATATATATATATAAAACGAAATGATAAATAGGTATGAATTTTAGTGTTAATGTTTTTCGCTAGTAAGATACATCCTTGAAATCAAATTTCAACAAAAAAATTTCATTTTTCATTTCTAATTTTAATAACAGGATTACATATGTAATTGAATAGACTAACATGCAAAACCTATAAGAATCCATTTCAATCAAATGGCCAAAGTGAGAAAAGTAATGGGAGGGTAAAATACATTAAATAAGTACGTCATATTTTCAGACATAAGCAAGTCCATGACCAGTTGATTTCAAACAGTGTTTTGAAGTGAAGCGGAAATTTGTTTTCAATTTTTCTAAGAAAAAGAGAAAAGTGTTTTTTTTTCTGTTCTTTAACGGAATACATAAATTTGTCTATGCTTCTTTTTTATTATTTTATTATTTTATTCCTTTGTATATCTAAACATATTTTTGAAGCATATCAATTGTGCATGTAAATATTATCTACACTTTTGAGTTCTGAGCATACATTGATGAAATCGTAATTAAACAAAAGTACTTGTCCATTTTTGTGGGACGTGCAATGTGATTAAACAGGTCTGATTTTTATACCGAAAAGATGGAATCATGCAAGATGCCTGTATCAGTGAAAAACCATTGCGGTTAGGCAAATGACCTTATTAATTTCCACGTCCCATTGTCCAATTTGTTTTGACATTTCTTTCGACCAAGCGTTATTTTCCTCAGTCGCCTACTAGATTTTCAATATTTCAATTCTTACCACCACCGACGAAACAGCTGTATGATGCAATATTATTGTTTGGTTCTATCATATCTAGCTAAAAGTTATTTTTAAAATGCTGTTCATAATTATGATACTTATGGTTATTTACCTATTGTAGAGTTAATGCTATTTTAATGAATAAGATATTCATAAAGTATAATGGTAATTTTATAGACAAAAATTACATGAATAAGAAAAGTACATTAAAGCAATTGGTTCAATTTTCTAAACAAGGACATAGTCATCAAGAGCCCCCGCATATGTGCATTTGTAAAATACAGGTAGAAATATCGTGTCATCAACTATATATAGCCTTGAACATGAAAACTTTGATATAAGCCACCACAAATGATTCGATATATCGATGTATCGAATCTTTTGGTTAGTCCCTTGAACTACGAAACATCGAAGTTTGTCTGTATAAAAATTTTAAGTGAGCAACATGGAAAACTAAAGTATTGAAATAATTTATTATTTATGTTCAGTTTAAAGTTCCGTTGAAAGCGACCAATATAATAACAATTTAGTAGCATAATGCTGTGAATATCAAAATCAGCTTTATCATATCATTATATTTCCTTCTTTTAAAGCGACCAATACAATAACAATTTAGTAGCATAATGCTGTGAATATCAAAATCAGCTTTATCATATCATTATATTCCCTTCTTTTACCAAATCGTATTTATTGTATGTCACAGAAGGCTGGATCAGTCAATGATTCTACTTCCGCTCAAGTATGACAAAACAATAAAATGGTTTATTCACATTAATAAAATGCAATACAGCATCTTATAGTCAGATATGTAAAATTGCAAGAAAATTACTATCAGAAAATCAAATCATAACCGGTGATAGTGCACCTTTACTTTGAACATTAGGCTTCTAAGAACATTTTGGATTTTTGGAGGTTTAAGACTTTTTACCAATTAGAGGATCCACCTATTGTTATTGTTCTGTTTCTACTTATCATTTTTATTCGATGGTTTTTGGCGTCTTAAGTTCCAAAAATATTCTGTGCAAAGCAATCAGTCATTCTGGTCACAGCTGACTAATTAGAAATGTTAGCGGAAATAGCCGATAATCAAATTTAAGAGAATGGTTAAGGTACTAAGCCGGCTAAGCACGTTTCATCAAAAAATGATCATTCCGTTGAAAGAAGTTTGGAAAGCGATGCATAAGACTGTTTTGAAAAATCAGCTAATTAGGTAAGAGCAACATAATTAAATATGTTTGGAATTAACGGTTGATCAAACTTCAGTGAGGAGATTATGTAATAAGTGTACCAAGCAAGTCTCCTCATAATTCATTTGTTCCTTCAAAAGATACATGCGGAAAGCATTCGGTCAGAGTGCCGAAAGATATCTGTCAATCAGGTCAAAGCAGTTTCATAAAATATGCATAGAACCTAAACAAGGAATAAAGGTAATAACTCTACAAAGCAAATTTCTTAAAAATCTTATTATTCCTTCATAAAATATTGTACAGAAAGCATTTCTGTACACGGATTAAAGAAATCAGCCAATCAGGTCTCAGCAGCCTCATTATATATGCGCGGAATTCGCCGTTAATCGAATATGGACAAGGGACAAGTGTGCCAACCAATTTTCATCAAAATCCGAACAGTCCTTCAAAAGAGATGTGGAATGCAGCATCCGGACAGACGGAGGGATGGACATACGGGCGGAACACATTTGAATATTTAATGTGCTATCATTTTAAGAAATATCAAGATACAAATAACAGCGGTCTCTCAAAGAACAATTCAAATTCCCTAAATAACATTGTTGTTATTCGTTGGTGTTGTTTTATCTCTACTTATAAGTTATTAAGCGTTATGGTTTACCTACCTTGAACTAGAATCTAAACTGACTTCAGTATGGAAAACCATATTGATCAACACCTTAATAATGATGAATACAAGAGCCTTGTGGACATTAACTTCCTGATTCAGCTTTGCCTATGGTCTAATGCATTTCAATTCACTCACTGTTATTTTAATTTTGATTCGTTTTCTGGTCTCTGGTAAGCTTATACTACAGGTAGAGTTTTTTGTGCACCGGTAGTGCAGTCTTAAACCACCATCCAGAGTATAAAAGGAAATGTAGAATATGTAGAATATTTTCAGTTATATCAAAAACTCCCTTTTTCTAAATAAGGAAGTTCTGACCTCAGTTGCCACTAACACTGACAAGACACACTACTCTTTGTCAATAGCGACACGCCCATTCAAGTAGCATCACATTAAAAATGCATGAGAGATGCCTACTTATTTAAAATATACATGTTTTCCACTGCTGGATATGTATTGAAAAAGAAAATAAGATAGGTTAATTTCTATATGTATTGTATCCATCATAAATTATTTCCATACTATTTATACCGGTATTTTTATCTATGAAATCGTTGAAATACTTAAGTTTATAAACACATACTATAATAAACTATATCCACTGGTGCCCCGTGTGGGACTGAGAAGTGTAGTAGCTGCCTTGTTCACGAAATATATCGACGAAACAGGATAAGATTAAAGAATGTATAACTAATATTTCGCATTCAAGACACGTTACAATGCAATACAAACTGGATGTGCGCCTGACCTGCAATGACGACAGCGGTTAAAAAGCGATTGTAAGACAAGCTTGAGAATACTTTTTGTGTTTAATTTCAATGCGTTGTAAGTTAAAACCTTGGTTACTCCATATCCTAACCAAATAGGATAAGTTTAGAGAATTTATAATTAATAGTTCGGCCTAGAGCCAAACACAGAACATGTCAACAGGTCATATGTTAATACTCAAGACACGTTACAATGTAATACAAACTTTATCACTGCTAAATGTAACCCGAGCTATGAGCAATCAGTATTATGTAAGGGAAGTGAAGATGAAGTATACACTGATAAAATTTGGTGATCGCTTATTGTGTATTTACGGTCACTATTATATATTGAATATTGTGTTAACTTACTGTTCCTTTTTTACGGACCAAACCTTTACGATTTGCCAGACTGAATATTTTTTGTAAAGAGTCAACGACCTAGAGTTTAACTTTATGATTGAGACAACTGCATCGAGAAGAAAAAATGCTGCCAGAGATCCACAAAACCATTGTCTTATAACAAGAGACCTTATACTATAGATGGATGTGCACTTGGCCTGCAATTACGACAGTGGTTAAAAGTGTTTGTAATACAAGCTGGATAATACTTTGTGTGTTTAATTTCAATGCATTGTACCTTAAAACATTTTTTTGCGCCATATCTCAACGAAACTGGATAAGTTAAGGGAATGTATAATTAATCGCTCGCGCTAGAGCCAAACACAGAACATGTCAACAAGTCATCTGATAATATCCAAGACACATTGCAATGTAGTACAAACTGTATCACTCAAGGTGACCGCAGCAGTGTAAATATCATTATGAAGATGACGTATGCAGTGATAAAATTTGGTGATCGTTAATTCTGCATTCACTGTCTCTCTATATATTGAATATTGGGTTTACTTACCGTTTTTACGGACCAATACTTAACGATTTGCCCAAACTGAATATCTTGTAAAAGTCAACGACCTAGAGTCTAACTTTATGATTTGGAAAACTGCCTCGAGAGGTAAAGACGCTGCCAATACTTGGTGTGTTTATATAATTTCTATTTTCGTAACACTTGATTTCGTGGATAAGCATAGCTAAAAAATCTACTTATGCTAATTTGAATAATTTGTATATATAAATATAGAAATAGATTAAGAGTAACCACGAAAACAAAGAAAATAAATCTACCACGGAAAATCACGTTTTTATCTAAATGAACGAATTTACTGAATAACAGGGTGGTTATGTGATGAAGCTTTTACCTCTTTTTAAAATCTTTAAAATAATCGCTGAGGTCGTTGATATCAAACAAAGTTTATTTAACACATGTGGTGGCTTTTTGCTGTACACTTCCAGTTATAAATTCTTCTTTGACATTTCTTATCGATTTTCTTGAAATAAAAGGATTAGACTCTGAAACAGCAGTGCTACTGTATCTTTATTCACAATTAGGGATGACGATTTCTGGAATCCTTCCTGGTTTGGGCGAA